TGAGTCCCGTACACTCCCTGAAGCCAATCCCAATCCACGCTTTATCGAAGTCGATGATAGTGATATAGACTAAATGATCGATATGCAGGAAAATCAAAACACTGTTAGAAAGACCCTTCATGACATGAAATTGTTGACAATAGGAAATTCGTCGCCAGATGCCATAATTAACACTCTTTGGTTTAATAACACCACACATTTTGGTCTCTGTGGGTCCGACGAACACAAAAAAATGTCGTGGGGGGATGATGAGCTTTGCGTTGACACAAATGGTCTGGAGTATCTCGATTTCACAGAAAGGGTATCCAAGACAAGACAAGGTTCCGATCCCAAGGGCACTAGGGATGTTACTCCTAAAATGTTTGCCACTCCAAAAAATAATGCTTCTTGTCCCATTGAAATGAATAAGCTCTACCGTAGTTTCAGATCTGGCGATTATTCCACTCCAGATAGTTCTTTCTACATTGCAAGCTCCACTGTCAAAAATCAAGGTTCATTACCAGGTCCATGGTTTAGAAGGCAAACTGTTGGTATCCACAAAATTGAATCCATAATGAAACGCATGGTAACTTCTGCGGGAATGTCAAGTGACAAGAAACTGACAAACCACAGTGCACGTAAATATTTGGTGCAAAAGTTGAACGATGCAAACGTCCCACCGTCTCATATTATGCAGAAATCAGGCCACAAAAACGTACACAGCATCAATAATTATTCCCATATTAACTCTGAACAACACAGGGAAATATCCTCCATTCTTTCGAGATCAAAGACCAGAGCACTTGTACAGCGTTCTTCTGAGGTGAACAGGGAGGTAAACAATGCCAGCTGTTCGCGGTATAGCGAGGTGTGTCCGGTTGCTACCAATGCCACCTGCTTCGAACTCAACATGTTCTTCGTCGGTTTCATGCACTTCTTCAATGAAACGCGACCAGATATCCTCAGTTTTTGGATTGAGTAACATTTCAGGTGGCACTTTTACGATAAATGTCCATGCTTCCAAAAAATGCCGAATTGCCGTAATAGACAGTGATTCAGAATCTGATTAGCACTCCTCTCGCCTCTGCCACAAATTTGCAAATGTCGACGTGACATCTAGCACATGATGATTCTATTTACTTACTGCTGTTAATATTTTCTTTCATTGAAATGGTTTTGGGTGATAAAGGCGCATAAAAATGCAATGATGCATTAATTTTGCTTATGAACTGTGACTTTAGTGCCGATAACGGCAATTTCATTGTGCACTATTTTTTATCAATGACGGTATACACAAAAAATCTGTCTTTTTTTTTTATTCACATGACGTTGCTAAATGTATTCATAGGCCAATAATGTTCAGTTCGCCCCTCGAAAGTTCTTTTTTCCCGTATTTGGATTTAAGAATGATGTTGGATGATAAATAAAATCTCACCCTCGTGTCTTTTGATATGAAATATATCAACACGAGTTGATATATTTGATATCAAAAGACACGAGGGTGAGATTCTCTATATATCAGCAACATAACAGTAGTTCTAGAGAAAGAATCACATATTGTCTGATGATTTTGTCATAGCGACTGAATTACGACACCCATTGTCTGAAGAACATTTAATTGCAAAGGCTCATTACCCTGGAGCCATGACATCTATATGCCTTGAAACACTTAATTGCTGTTATTTATAAAATGCAAAGCCTATTTGTTACTCCCCATTTTTGTGTACATCGACCGTCTGCCATCCTGAACGAGATGTGCAAGTATGTCACTGATAATTAACTGTTTACATGTATATTGATTACTTACTAAATGTCAGGTGACCTTGGCTATATAAGCCTTGGTCCAGAGAGATTGATCCGTGTGCGAAATACGCATCAGTCGGAAAGCGCACGTTAAATCTCCAAAGTAAGTAAGTAAGTAAAGAGATTGAGAAAAAGAAAGGTCTTGCCCTTAGCCTAGCTAGGGTTAGGCTGGGTGCTCCAGGGCACCTAGACAACAACCACTAGCACTATGTGCTGACCTGGCACATATTGTCTTGTGTATGTATATATCTACATGTATAAAGTAAAACTGTATATACCGCAAGCCATCGTCTCCAAGTTGTCACTTCCTACTGAGAACCATACGTCGGCCTCTTGCATATACGAGTATGCAAATTATTCATTAATCAACGTCAGACCAACGCGTTGTTAATTTCACTTGATGATATTCAAGTCCTCTGAAAATGGTTATACATTACTTCTCTCAGGGATTTGGATCAGTCATAAGATGGAAGCACAAGGATTGGATTATTGGATACTGCTGTCAACTATACTGGGAGTGTACTAGAGGCAGAACCTGCCTTCCTTCTGGTATATTCTGGCAATAATGTAATAGAGGGAGAACATTCGTAAGAATTATCAAACCATAGTTATCATTGTTAATAACTCTAAGAATACTAGATCAGATGTACTCCCTCCCACCTTCCCAATCATCTGTCTCTAGTTGATTGATGTTTGGAAAGTGCAATGGTTGGTTGGTTGGTTGGTTGGTTGGTTTGTTGTTTAACGCCATACTCAGCAATATTCCAGCTATATGACGGTGGTCTGTAAATAATCGAGTCTGGACCAGACAATCCAGTGATTGATATCATGAGCATCGATCCACGCAATTGGGAATGATGACATGTATCAACCAAGTCAGCGAGCCTGACTACCCGATCCCGTTAGTTGCCTTTTACGGCAAGCATGGGTTGCTGAAGACCTATTCTACCCCGGAATCTTCACGGGAAAGTGCAATGGGCTGATTGAGTGCATTTGTGGGAACAACTGATTGTTGAATAGTTGACAGTAAAGAGGAATTGTGTGGAACATATGAAAGTTTAGTTTAGCGTGATTGCAGCCAAAATACAGGAATTTGGCAATGATGTAAAAAAAGGAAGTATTCTTAGAATTACTGACAATGATAACTGTTGTTTGATTTTATATGGTAAATCATCATGTCTTGTGATAATTTATCTCAAATTTTACATTTAAATTGACCAAGTTAGTTATCACCTATTTGTTTACCTGAATTCTCTGAAGGAATACAATGTAGTCTTTTGCTATGCCTAATGTTGACTGATAGCTTCATCCTTTCAAACTGTGAATGCATTATTCAACAACATAAAGACATGTCAGTTTGGCTGCAGTTCTATATTGTATATCCTTTGTTATGATATACGGCTTCTCATTCTTCGTTCCTCTGATAGGTGTTGCTTTTCACAGTGCAGTAAGAAGAGTGCTGAACGCATAAGTCAAACCTGTTGAAATTATAGTCAGTAACTTGAATCTGCGAGGAAATAGCTGATCCATACTTCAATACTGTCAAAGTTGGAGTGTTGTTCCCCTTTGAAATAAATTATCAATAATTTTGATAACTTACCTTTTAAGGTTTTAATATATATATTTTCTATGTCCAGTTTTTACTGATTCTATGTTATTTGTCAGAAATATGGGGATTTCATCCCTCGCCTGGTATTTTGAATATACCCGGTACATGAGACTGTAAGATATTATTGCATTTAAGGAAAGCTGTTTCTAATATTGTAGTTAGAGATGAATTGGGTAGATGTTCACTGAAATTAATAAAAATATCAGAATTATAAAATACTGGATGAGGTTATGAATTCACAATACCGCTTTTAGAAAGTGGTCAAATGTAACAAATATTATATTTGGGATTACACATTTTTAGTAAAGTACACTTTCTGCAAATTCTAGTATTTTGTGGGGTTAAGTTCCATCTGGGATTTAAACCTACACTCTTATAGCTTTCGGCAATGGGAGGCAATTAACACTTATCTGAGGGGTATACAAAGTATGTGATCTGGACTACCAGCTGCCAGGTGTTTAGATCACCTCACTTTGAGAGAGTAGGTTCGCATCCCAGATGGGACTCAACCCCCAAAAAGTACTAAAATTTGTGTAACTCAAAATATAAAACGATAGTTACAGTATTATTTTAAGACATCTATTTACATCAATACATTCTTGCAGAAAAAGTGAATGGGTTGTAGGGCACACAAAGTAGAAAAAGTTACTGTTTGGATATGGTTTTGGTTACATTGGGAATAATCATCAAGTTGGTTATGTCCAAAATTCATGCAGAGGTGTATGGATGTTGATGATTAGATCTATTTGATGGTATTTGTAAGTATCTGTGTTTAGGCTTCTCTTGATGTATCAAGGTTAATACTATGTTTGAAGACCATTTATCAGTTGTGATGTTTATGTTTATAGAATTGCTTTATTAAAGTTTCCCTCCTCAGGTCATGACCTAAGGATACCAACAGGAAGGGACTTTTCTAGATATGAAATATATTGTCCATTCTGTACAGTGCTTTCTGTTTTGTCAAAGCCATCTTCCTTTTTTTTTTATATATATTTTTATTTCAATTCAGTAGACATATATATAACATTGGTACATGAGGTATATAAGTGTAGCAATTCATAGTCTTAAAACATGATCAGATATGGGTAAGCAATATATTGATTGACTGAGAAATTATAATAAGTAGGCTGATAATTCCTTCCATTTTCTGTCAAATCTATTAATACTACTATTTTTCATTGCGATACATTTCTCCATTTCACATACATCTTTCAACATTTTTATGAAAAAAGGTAAAGTATAATGGAGTTTTCTTGATGCTTGATTGGTGAATGTATTTTTTTGCAAGAAGAATTATGTGGTTAAAAAGGTAGTTGTTTTTGTTGTAGCAAATTAACTTATCCAGAATGGTAATATGAATATCATATGCAAGTTTCGAGCTTAGGTACATTTCAATTTCTAACCAAAACTCCTTTACAAAAACGCATTCTACATACACATGGTATATGTTTTCAGATTCAGAGACACAAAATGATCTTCCTTGCTTGACTGAGATCTGTAGACGAGTAGTTTTGTCCCCAAATACATCACTCTTACATTACAAGGTGTTTTGAGAAATAGGAACATACTCAGATAAGAAGACTTATTTCTCTACTTGTGTGTCTTGTAGGATGTGCCACCTCCCCGATCCAACTGGCGTGCTCAGCATGACGATTTCCTGAAGACAGTGAAAGCTGCTAGAGGAGTGACTATTGCTATGAAAGAGGGAAGGCCATTGCCACCACCTCCCCCACCATCTATCAACCCTGGTTAGTTTGTTTACTCTATGTAAGCATGTGGGTTTAAGGGCATGCATGTTCTCTGTCTTCCTGAATGATAATTATTATTCAGCAATCCCTTGTAGTTTAGCTCACCTGAACGATAGTCAAGCGAGCTTATGTCATATTGCGTTGTCTGTCAGCTACTATAGCAGATTAAGCCTTGGCAATAGAAGGTTGTGGAACTCATATATATCCAACAGTCAGAGGACCATCTACCTTATGTTTTAACGAGGTATTCTGGAAGTTAAGCTTTAGAAGTAGTGTTCAATCGCTATTGCGCTCTTCAACATAGCACCAACTCGGTTATAGTGCGGTAAAGCATGGCTCGAAAAAAACCCAGTTAACTGATGACCCTTGAACTCACAGAATTAGCTCCTTCACGGACGTATGTATGCATATTTGTAATTGTTGTGACTGAGTTTGTTCACTTGGCGCATTCATCTATACCATATTTTCTAGAGTATTTTGAGCGACGCAAACACTTTTAGGAGAGTGGACATGGTATGTCGAGCGTCGTAGGATGGTACGTCTATGGTCAGAAAATCGTCAAGGAGATGTAGGATGAACTGAACATTGTGATTGTTGTGTAAGATCCACGTATGGCAGTTGATATTGTATCAAAATTTACTGTGCTGGAGTGGCACCCAAATGCAAGTCGCTTGTAGAAATAAAACTGTCCTTGCCATTTGCAACCAAACAGTGGCCAAAAATAAGGGTGTATAGGAATCTGCTTGAAAACGTCAGTAATGTCTACTTTGCACATGAGGGCACCTGTTCCCGATTCCTTAATGTTTTTGATAGCTTGATCAACCGAAACATAGGAGAGAGAACAATCATCCTTGTTGATGAGACTGTTGATGCTTGGAACTATGTCGTTGTCGTGAGGTGCAGACAGGTCAAGGATTGATCTCTTTTTGAGGCTGTATTTTCCTGTAGCCAACCCTTATGGGCTGAATCTGTACACTGGGTATGGAGATTTTGGCAAAGGTCCAATAACATAGCCTTTCTGCACTTCTTCACGGATTAGGTTAGCAACAATGTCGGGTTCAGTCTTAGCACTGGCATTGTTGGTACATTCAAATGGTTGAGATGGGACTGATGAAAGTTTGGGGTCAAATCCTTGACGAAGGCCCATATTGACAAACTCTGTGAACACTGAATCTGGATGCCTTGCTAGCTCATGAGCCATAACATTAAAAACGATGGGGGTGAGAGTTGCGAGTCACTGGTGAGAACTGTTGAAGTTTGAGCAATGTTGTTGGCTATGTTTCCCCTTACATTGAAGACCCAAGTGAAGGAATGGGCAATTTGACTTTGAACAGCCAAACTCGTTAAAATTGTTACAAAGTTCACGACCCTCATGACGAACATGTGGCCTACCTCGAATATCAGATGATGGGATATTCTTGGGTTTGTTTTGATTGTGGCGTTGTCTGTGGCCAGGATAATCTGAGTTGGCAATGTTCGGACAATTGTCAGTGGCATGAGCGACACTGTGGCAGAGGGAACATGCTCGAGCCCGCAGTCCGGATGTGCAAATGCTTAACAATCTCAAATCTCGTTCCCCCCTATCAACTGGTGTACCTGCTTCTGCACAGGCGGTGATTCTACGAGCAAACATGACATGATAGTTGTAAAAAGCAGATGTATTGCTGTAAAGCTTGGCGAGATCTAACACATTTCGTTGATGTTTATCCAGTTGTACTCTGAGGGTGCAATTTGAACCACACAGTATATTTCTATAAATGTCAAACGCCTCCATGAATTCCCTCAGGTTTAACTGCCGGTTAAGACGAGAGAAGGATGAACCATTGCGAGGTTCACCTATATCTTGATCTTGAAGCAAGAGTGCAAGATTTATATATTCACCTTTTTGAATTTTCTTCACCAGGGCGGCAGGAACTGTATCGATGTAAGGGAGAGAATTCGATGAAACGGCTTTGCCGGCACTTCCCCTCGGACAAAAACTTGATGTAGACACGGTAGTGGTAAGGTTAGCAGGTTGACTACCGGGCTGTGCCATTCGCTGAAGGCATGAATGCACTGAATGCACGAGTTCTTTAAGTTCAGCGAATTCAGATCAAGGGACACTGGCGGAAGGGGAAGTCACATTTGTTGGTGCATTGCGCATGTCCATCACACCAACAGTGGGAATGGTGTCATAATTAGGATCAATGTCACATTCCCTGTCTGGGACAGAAATCGTATTCCTGGTAACCTTATCCAACGATTGGGAAATGTTAGGTTGATCTTGAATCTGTGGGACACCAGTGTCTGGCTGTATCACGACCGTTTCCTGTGAACTTTGGTCTGGTGACGTCACAGTTGCTGACACTCATTCAAATTCTCCTGGTAGAGTTGGTAGATCATTTTACGAGACCATGAGCTGGGCACGACCATTCCAAAGTCCGCTAACTTCTGCCGAAGTTGAGCAACTGTCAAATAAGGAGTCGTGTTGTCGAGTCGTGACCTGGCTGTGTTGGCAACATGGCGGCTGGGGTTAGATGTTGAGGTCGAAGGTAAAGATTTGCCATGGCTACGCGTAATCCGACTGCTGGATGTTGCATCTGGCTGTTGATCCATAGTTCAAAGGTAGCACGGCGGCGTGGAAGAATTTAGGATGCAGGATGGCGCATTTGTTCAAAGATTTTTTTATGGAAGTTATGATGGTCTCTCAACTATGACAACCAGCATGAAAACAAGGCAGAGAATGAGGAAGAGACATGCGCAGAATAAAGTAAATCATGATGCATGATAGGGTATGTTTACCACGAATATGGGGTACGGCATGGAAAATGCAGTAAGGCAATGACACGCATTATGGTAGAATAAGGTATGGACGGCATAATGTTAAGAATATGTGTAGAGATCTGGACGGTAACATTGCAGTGAGTACATGTAATATGTAGAGAGTACCTGTTATGGCTGCACAAACAAAAATATTAAATTTACATTTTCTGCTACGCCTAGGAAATGCCACTCTGAGCTAGTGAGCAAATTTGGTTTAACGCCGCTTTGAGAAATATTTCAGTTATTTCACAGGTCACGTTAGTCACTGGGAGTCTTAATTGGATGTGTGACTGTGTTTGGCTGCTTGTTTCCTGTGAGTTTCTTGGGTTTTGGTACCGTCACAGGCCCTTGCATGACACATATATTCAACAACAAAAGTTCCTGTGACACCGATATTTTAGTGTATTTTTCAAACAAGTAAAGTTTGGTTTTCAATATTATAGTATATGTATGGAATCAAGTCACAAAAACGCAACTGCTACAGAAAAGCATGCATTCCATGCAAAAGTTTACTTTTATGCCAGCCCCAAGCATTTCACTACCCAAAAATGGGTATAAAAACATGTGTGTTAACGGGATTCAATATACATTGTTTAGCATTGTGCTGACAACAACCAATCAGAAAAACAACAAAATTACACAATTATTCAACATTACGACGAATATCTTCACAAACTGTACGTCATCGCCTCAGATGTGCAGGGATTGTCGCCAGAAGACCTGCCAGATGTCCCATTTTGACAGGAAACCACCATGCAGACAGCGTCTACCCTGGACAGCCATGCAGTGGGGACAAGTTCTATTCACTGATGAGTCTCGTTTTCACCTCAGCCACAGCGATGGACGGATTCGAGTGTACCGACGTCGAGGTGAACGTTACGTCAATCATTGTGTCATGGAAGAAGATTGGTTCGGTGGTGGCAGCGTTATGGAATGGGTGGGATTACAGCAAGACAGAGGACCTGTTTGATATTGGTAGAGGGACATCTCAATGGACAGCCTTACCGCGACGAGATCATCGGCCCTGTTGTTCTACCGTTTTTTCGTCGTCATGGCCCTGGCATTACCTTTCAACTTGACAACGCCCAGCCTCATATTGCTCGACTTGTTCAGGATTCCCTTCAACAAAACAATGTGAATGTCATCCCCTGGCGGGCTCGCTCTCCTGATCTCTCACCATTCAAGCATATGTGGGATGAGATGGATCGACGCCTTCGACGTCAACCACGTGTTCCACAGACACTCCAGGAACTTCGAAACATGCTCCAGCAGATATGGACAAATATCCCACAGGACTTTGTGCGAAGCCTGGTCCATTCCATGAGACGAAGATGTGTTGCTTGCATCGCAACCAGAGGTGGACACACACGCTATTGATTTTAAATTGACATTTTGGCATGTTCATGTTTTTTTATGAAATCACGCATTTTCTGAAGTCAGTATGGCAACTTCAATCTTTTGAACACTTACAGGAGTATTTTATCTGTTGCAAACCGAAATTGTTTCAGATTTGGTAAAAAACATAACTTTGCATTAAATCTTATTCAATGTCACAGGAACTTTTGTTGTTAAGTATATAAACCACCTGGATTTAAAACGAACTTGGTACACTGTTAACATAATACTGTACAAATGAACCAACCCAAGCTAATAGTGACTCGTAAAATTGACACATGTGACATCAACAGTCTCTGAAGCACAGGTGGTAGGACTATAAATCAAGAGATAGCAGGTTCGTATCCCCCCAGGCTTTTGAAAGTGCTAGTTCATATATGTGTTGTCTTTTTTCTCTTGCATATAATGGGATGTAAATCACAAGTATAGTTTGGTGGCAAGAATGTATCAAAATTGTGAATTATATTCATCTTCAAAACTGCATGTCTTACTGACAGGAAATTATTACACTTTCCGTGAATACCTGGTGCATGTGAACATTGATTTTCAGTGAACCATTCCCTTAAGTTTCACAGCTATTTTGCATTTTAGGCCCAATGGAATATGTTTTATCAGATAATCGATACTGGTTATTCTCTGGCGTTGACATTTTTTGTATAAGATATACTCTCCGAAACAAGTAGGGGATCCTGAAATATAAATGGTATGATAGGTCGTCAGAAGAAAGATGAGCTTTTGAAAATGATTGCAAGGGATAGAACACAGCAAATATTAAAATGATCCAGTACACATGCAGATATTAA